ATTAGAAACCATTTTTACCAAATCAAATTTAGGGAGTTTAATATTCAATTATTATTTAAAATTTTAACTGAAATCCATATTGAAATCAATTTTTATTAGAAGATTTTACAAAAATTCAATTTTTTAAATAAAAAAAATAAATAATTTACTGAATAATCGAATGTTTCTCAAAATTAAATTCTAATGAAGAATTTTATCAACAAATTTTTGAATAATTAAAATTCTTTTGACAAATTTAAATAAATAATAGAATCGTTGTAAAAAATTTGATTGAATTGAGAAAAGTTTTTGAAAATAATTGGAATTTTGCCAAGAATTTTATTAAAATTTTTAAAAATAATTGAATTCTGAAAAAGAATTTTATTATTTATAAAGATAATTGAAATTTTTACAAGAATTTTTTTAAACTTTTGACTATAATTGAATGTCTTTGATGAATTTTATTACTTTTAAAAATATTTGAATTCTTAAGACAAATTTTAATAATATATTTCTTTTTAAAATAATTGAATTAAATTAAAAATTAAAAATGTATTGACAATAATAATTAAATGCTAATAAATAAATTATAGAAAGGCTTTTTAAAATAATTGAATTTCTTTGATGAATTTTAATAAAATTATTAAGGATAATTACATTTTTCAAGAGATTTCATTAAAATTGTATTCATAATTAGTGAAATTATGCGATAAAGTTAATTATTTATGAAAATAATTGAATTCCTGGTAAAAAAATGTTATTCTTTATGAAAATAATTGAATTATTGTGAAGAAAATTATAAAAAATTTGTAAATAATAGAATTTGTGTGAAATTTTTATTATTTAATTCATTCATTCAAAATTGAAATTTTCTAAAATTTCGAATTGAGACCTTTTAAAGTTCATCTATTTATGAAAATTGTAAACGCAACTCTTTTAAAATTCAATTAATTTTGAAATATTTAAGTAAAATTAGGTTTCAAGAATAAGCACAATAACTTTAGAAAACAATAATTTTCCAAGATTCCGATCGAAATTCGCTGACTTTTCCAGGTTTTTTCAAGATTTATAAAATTCCCTGACATTTCCAGGTTTTCCAGATTTCCAGGTTGCGTGGTAACCCTGATAAAATAATTTTTTCTAATTTGTAAAAAACATTTTTACAAAAATTAGAAAATAATTTTTTCTAATTTGTAAAAAAAAAATGTTCACAAAATTAAAATATAATTATTTTTTCTAAATTGTAAAAAAATTTATAAACTTATAAAAAACAAAATTGTTATTAAATATAATATTCTCTGTAATCCGAAAAGGCACCTTTTTGAAGAATTTACATTAAATATTTGTTTCATTTAAATAAATTTAATTTTTACAATAATAAATAATAATAATAATGAAAAATTAATATTTGGTAAAAGTGGTAAAGCCATTTAGTACCTATATAAATTAGATAATAACGTTCGAATCTTCCCAGAAAAACCCCTTTTTAATTTCTCAATAAAAAAAAAAGATTTACGATTAAAAAACTAATTTTTTTTCATATCTATTTTCCTCACACTATACGTATATTATTCTCAAGTGTTTCATTCCTAAAGTAAAGATCAAGGAGAGAAATTTCTGCAATGTGGAAGGGGTACACAGGGCGGAGGAGGGAGGGTGAAAAAAAAATTGTGAGAAACGAGATTTCCAATTATTTGAAGAAGTTCCATTTCAAAATGTGATCCTTAGTCTTTCAAACGAAATAGACGATTCAAAGTGCTTGCAAAAAAATGAGTTTGCGGTGTTCATTTCACGCTTGAAGGAAGAAGGAACGAGTTCAATCGATCCCTCAGAAAATGAGAAGAAGATATATGGGTCTCTTCCAATGTGGATTTTTGGTCTTGTGATCTTTCGAATTTCCTATCATAAAAGATAATATACTTTAACTTTAAAAGTTTTCATAATTGAGACATTCTCACGATTCTTTTAAACGGATATATTTGGTTTTTTTTTCTTGAAATAAAATAATCTTGAGTCTCTAATTGATGTGCCACTTTTTTTCAATAATTCGCTGCGATTTGTTAAATAATTAATTTGATATAAAAGGAAATTTTATATCAATTAATTATTTAATAATAAATAATTAAAAACAATAACAACAATAATAATAATAATAACGAAATTGAAGAATAAAATTACCAAAAATAATTGAAGAAATAAAAAAAATAAATAAAGTGTAACGAAATAAAAATACAATTACATATTATTGTTCTGTTTGCCGATTATAATTTCAAGTTGAATTAGGTTGCATAATCTAAAATAGGAGTCTAATAGGGGTTATTCAAATATGCATTACGCTCGAAGGGTAGCGAGAATCAGATTCGATGTTGCCAACCATTATAATAGGGTTACAGAGAAATGCATCATAATAGGGAGAATCAGATCCAAAGATCTAAATCGAATAAGCATCCTATTAGCTACTTTATTAATTAAGAGAAACGTATTAATTTCAAAACTACTTTAATCAAATGAAATTTCAATTACAACTTATAAATTCACACATTACACTTTCAATATAGATGAAATAATTAATTTCTCCTTTTATTATTTTTTTTTCTATTATAGTTTAATTAAAAATTCTAATATCTAACAAAATAATAATTAAAACTCGTAATTAACAATCATAATGTAATTGCATTAGCTATTGCTAATAGCAATGCAATCTAGCTTTATAACACTGGGTTACAAAAAAATGGTCATGTCGTGTTTATTTAAAATTTACTGTGTTTATTGAAAGTTTAGGTGTCACAGAATAAGAATATACCAGAAAAACTTTTTTTCATTCGGTCATTCCCTTAAAAAACGAGTTTAAAGTCTCAAAAAACCGTATTTTTAGCACTTTTTGAGGCAGCGTAACAAGAAAATGCAACATGATAAAAATCTCTACAAAAGCTTAAATAAAAGCTTAAACCTTCAACTTTAAGGCTCAGAACTGAAAAGTACTTAAAGAAGCACTGAAAACCTGCAGTCACTATCTGAAATTATCAAAAAAGCTGGGTTAGGTAGCACTTGGTAAAAATCGATTTCCCTAACCGGATTCGGTTGCAAATTGTTATTTTAGGTTTTTTGAGGTTTCTAATGACGAATTGGAACTTAGATTTAAAAAATTTCAAAGTGGCGGACTCAATTTTTTAAAATTATCAACGCAAATTTTGAAAAATTGAGTGAATTCATTATTTTCAGTCCGCCATTTTGAAATTTTTTAAATCTAAGTTCCAATTCGTCATTAGAAACCTCAAAAAACTTCAAGTAACAAGTTGCAACCGAATCCGCTTAAGGAAATCGATTTTTACCAATTGCTTCCTGTTCTAGCTTTTTTGACAATTTCAGGTAGCGACTGCTTGATTAAGGAGGTTTTTATTGATTATTTAAGTACTTTTCAGTTCTGAGCCTCAAAGTTGAAGGTTTGAGCTTTTATTTAAGCTCTTGTAGAGATTTTTATCATGTTGCGTTTTCTTGTTACGCTGCCTCAAAAAGTGCTAAAAATACGGTTTTTGACACTTTAAACTCGTTTTTTTAAGGGAATGACCGAATGAAAAAATGTTTTACTGGTATATTCTTATTCAGTGACACCTAAACTTTCAATAATCACAGGAAACTTTGAATAAACACGATATGACCATTTTTTTGTAACCCAGTGTAATCTAACTTATTCTCATTCTTCCTACGTGTAATAATTTGTAAATAAATGAATAAATAATTGATTTAATTAATTCATATGAAACTATAGTCAGCAAAAAAATAATCAAAATTGATGAAAATAATAATTAAAAAAAAATAATATAAGCAATAGTAATAATAACAATATTAATTGAAAAGATTAGAAAATAGTGATTTTGATAAAGTATACAAATATCTCTTTCCTAAGCAATTTTCTATAATTACCATCAATTTATCCTGTGGAAAAAATTTGATCTCGTTTTATTTTTTTTTCTTCCTCTTTCTTTTTCTTTCTTTTTGGCGAATTTAATCGTAAGCTGAAAGGAATTTCCGCTAAGGGAACGTGCCATAAACCACGCGATGGAAAATGTGGTGGCGAGTTGAGGGTAGATCAACCTCCTTTTTTTTGCTTTTAGTCAAGCTCCTCCTACTTCTTTTTTTTTTTTTTTCTTTTTACAGCTCTCACCCTTTATGTTAATTCGCGTAATCAGTAGTATTGGAGAGGTGAAGAAGATTCTACAGCTCGTGTAAAAAGTTTCACCAAACCGCCTCTCTTACTCGTCATGGCAGGAGGCTAAGTGCATTATAGCTTGTGATTACGAGCCACTGGGCTGTAATCAAAGTCATTAAAATTGCGGAAAATTCAAAATGTGCATTCCCATTTACCAAATAATCCTCTCCCTCTCCTCACTCTCTCGTATCTTTCTGTTTCTTTTTTTTCACTTATCATTCTCCCTCTTTTTCACTGTTCCTCTTTCTCTTCTTCTCCATTTCTTCATTTCTCTTTTCCTATTTCACCTTCTGCTTCCCTTTCTCTTTTTCTTCTTTGTTTCCTCTTTTTCAAATAAATTTATACTTAAAGCAAATTCATTTTATTTGGTACAAAAAATTTATTTTTTTTTAAATTAATAGTTTTTTTAAAGTTTTTTAAATGTTTTTTAAAGTTTTTCTAAGCTAATAAAGTTTTTTTGATCTAAACAAAATTTATTTCAACCAAAAAAATTTCTTTGATCCAAACAAAATTTATTTCAACCAAAAAGGTTTATTTGTACCAAATATAATTTACTTGAACCAAATAAAATTTATTCGAACCAAGTAAAATTTATTTGAAACAAATGAAATTTTTTTTGGAATAAAATCGATTTGAACGAAATAAAATTTATTTGAACCAAATAATAAAAATTATCAGTAGACTCTTTTTTCTGATGGTGAAAAATTTGTCAAAAGGGAGAATTTTCGAAAAATAAAAAATATATGTATGTATAATATGCTTGTTATGTGGAGATGAGAACTTCATAGAGAAAAATTATTTGACATTACAGTGTCCACCCTGTCAAGCGGGAGATTGGAATTAAGCAGGGTGAACAGGCATCAAATGGGAGTTTATCTTTGTATAGCAAGCAACGATGTCCCCCCAGCAGTCAGCAAGAGGGTTCATCTCAGAGTAAACTGTGAGTATTTGCACGCCAAAGAGCTTATATTCTGACAAAATGAGTTGACAACTAATGCGGTCCATATATACATAGACGTGCCCGAGAGTGTGACAAGAATTTCTAATTGTCTGTCACAAATTTTGACAAGCTTATCAATCATTATATTCACATATCACTCGCCAAGAAGGTGAGAGTGAAAGATATTTTAAAAGAGTTTTTCAAAAAATTTTCAAGGCAAGTAGTATAGCTAGGAGAGATCTGGGACAGGTTCTGATCTCGGCTAAGTACCCTCGGTCGGTAATGCAGATTTCTACTTTATCAGTGGTTGGTAGGGGTGTTCTACCTTACCGACCGAGTGTAGTTCCTGCTGCCACCGCTAGATGGCGCCACTTACAAATTCCAAACCCCTTGGCGGGAAATTTAAAATTTTAATTTCAAACTTTCGAGTGGCTTAGAAGGGGTTCTCTGTTTTACCGACCGAGCGTAGTTCCTGCTGCCACCGCTAGATGGCGCCACTAGCGAATTCAAACTTGCTTGGCGGGAAATTTAAAAATTTTATTTTGGAAATTTAAAGTCTATTGGAAAGGATGTTCTGCTTTACCGACCATTGAGTTCCGGCTGCCTCCGAGAGATGGCGTTACCATCGAATTCAAACCGCGGGAAATTTAAAAAATTTATTTGAAAAATTCAAACCGCTTGGACAGTGAGACGCCATTTTGTTTTACCGACAGAGTGCGGTTTGAGTGTTGTGCCGAGAGATGGCGCCACAACTGAATCGTTTGTATTTCGCGGGAAAAGATGGCGTCATATTGTATACACTAATAAGATTATTAAAATTTTAATAGATGGCGCTTGTAAAAGTTGTTGAAATCTATTATATTAAACATAACCTTAAAATCTATTATATTAAACATAACCTTTAAATATATTGTATTAAACATAACCTTAAAATTTATTTCATTAAACATAACCTTAAAATGTATACCTTATTATCTAACGTAATACTAATGAAGGTATTTAATTAAATACAGTATTAATAACAGTTCATACATTTATTACATTCAATATACAATATTTACACTTGTTTAATTTTAAATTCAATATGGTTGTATGGACCACCAATATACTTCAGCCGTAATTGTCCAGAACTAATAGCTTCTTGCATCTGATCCAAGCATATAGAGTCATCAGTGAACATTGGTACAAATCTTGAAGGTAGGAATGTATTGAATTTTTTATCCACCTCAACGACGACCTTGACTCCATACCTGGTGTTAACGACCTGGATCTTCGTTATAGGATACTTATGTCCAGGAGTCAGCTCGGATAGCGGCTTCGTAGGTAGGAAAGCATCCATGCGACCAATGGCGTTGATTTTGGTTAGATCCATCTTTTCTTAGAGATAATACTTTGTGAAGTTACAAAACAGAATGAGCTTTACAGCTCAAGGTGCCTCTATTTATACCCAAATATCACGCATTATCCCCACCATTACTTTTACGCATGCGCAGTACCCCTACCACTATTTTACGCATGCGCAATAGCTTTTTATGTTTGTAAAATACCCCCACTTTTTATTATTGAGCCACGCCCACTTTGTGACGTCATAAGACAAGTCTAGACTAGTTTTAACATGTTTAATAGTTTTACACATGTGTAATAAAGATAATAGGATAGGGAAAGGTTAATTAAAGTAAACATTAATAGACATTTAATACATTTATTCATTATATAGGAAATTTTCACAATCATTATAAAAATCTTTCAATGTACAATCATTGTCAACTTCATTATTATTTTCTATATTATTTCGTAGTACATTCGATGGTTGTATCAACCAATTTCGTAGATTACATACATTTTTAACAGCGCAATTGCTAAAGCTACGTGTGTGATTTGTACATGTAGATGAACTGTCTACACTTAAACTTTTTAGCGACGGACATTTAAAATCATCTAAATTAAACACATTCAATGTATATTTTTCGAACCATTTTTGTTTTTCTAAACCTTTTACATAAACGGTAGGTGTACCTATTAGTACTTCTTTTATTATAGGTTGTAATTCTTCATAACATACGTCACCAGCAGCCCAATCGATACCATGATAATTATTTGTAAGCCATCGATTCTCACATTTGTATCTTGCAGGCAATCGACTCCAGGCATATGGCGGCTCGAAGAGGTAGACCAATGGATGAGCATCTTGTTGAAGTGGTAGAATCGCCAACTCTTTGATGACAAACTCGTTGTATGGTCTCTTGAAGCACTGAATATCTACGACGTACGCCATGGTATCTGAAATAGAATAATGGCTCAAGCCTTAGAGAGACGCTCTCTTTATAGCCTTTCCCCCACCACTCCAAATACCCCCACTACCGATGTCGTGTACGATTGGTCATTATTTCTACCAATCACGTTACTTTTTTAACAACGCCGCTGATTGGTGTATACTGTATAATGCGGTCGTGAATTATAAGGCAATATGCAGCTGTATTGGCTGGAAAATTTTCACTTGCTTCAAATTCCAATCGCACATCTACAGATGCTTGTTTTAGAAATTCGTTTTGTTTTGAGCAATCAATAACAGCCAATGGTGCATAATCTTTAAAGTTATTTCTAGTTAATAAAGGTTCAGATTCTTTTCCATAGTAGGACGGTTGAAAATTACAATACATTTCATATAATATGGAAAATTTGTTTTGAGTAAAATTTAAATTTAAATTTCCATAAGGATAGTACTGTGAGTTTAAGAAAAGTTTAACATTGAGAAGATTGCAGGTATCAAATAAATTTGCATACCTTTCTTGATCTTCTTTTCGATTTGTTTGAAAACCAAGAATAACATATCGAGGTTTTTCAACTTGTGTTGAAGTTTTTACAGTCCACACATGCTTTTGAGTGGCAGGAATCATAGGATATTCATACAAATCCCATGATCTAAAACTCATTGTTATAAGTGAGTCTTTTTCAATGAATTTCAATAATTCAATTTTTTGTCGATCATTTACCATTAAATATGGAATCAACCATTCAACTTTATTAATAATAATTTTAAATTCTTCACGCTCTGCTGCTTCAATGTTTACTACAGCATTTAGATCAGTACGAGATCTTGTTAAAATAAGTTCATGTTTTGCATTTACAACAATCTTTCGATAGTCTTCAGCAAAACCAATAATCATACTTAGTGGAATATTTACATCAAAATATCCAGCATCATTTGTTACTCTGCTATCATCATCATCATAAGGTAGATAACCAGCATTTTCAGAGTAAATCATTTGATTAGGTGTTTGAGAAATTATATTTTTCATTGTGGTTGTAATACCAACATTTTTGGAGCGATCAATTTCAACACCATTTAATTCATAACGAATCTCATTAAACAGGTAGGAAATACCATTGCTAATTAACTTTGTATTAGTTACAAGCGTATTGTTAGGCTTAACAATTCTTCCAGTGACGTGTAGAGTACTTTTAGAGGGAAGAATGTACAAGTCTTGATGTTGAACTGCAATTCGAATCTCGTCACTGTTATTAAATGCTGATGACACGTATGGTTGATGTGCATGAATCTCATAGTGTGCCACAGAATTATCAAATTTTACTGGACTTAGAATGTTTAAAATCTCTTCCATTTTTGTTACAACAACAAATAAAAAGTATGTGAAAAATTAATTTTTTCCCTTGTTTTCTTGATAAACTCTTAGGCCGAGCTGCTTCAGAAATAGTATGTTCTGAGATGTTAGTCTCTTGCGAACTGATTGAGGAATGAATGACTTCTGACATGGTAACTCATTTATATAGCTTCCACCAGTTTTTCTATGAAATACAATTCCCATTACGTTGATTTAACGTGTAATCGAATGGTTATAGTTTCACCTCTAAAATTTATTAAATCTCCGTCTTGATCAACGATTCTTATTTGAATATTATGTATTGTCTTCACGGCGATTGGAAGGTAAATGACGTGAGATGGAACTTCCACAATCTTATATCCAGCTGGTACAATTGGAAAAAATTCGTGAATTGTGTGTACCTTTTTATTATTTATGTATGCACCAGTAGTAATGTTACATTCAATTCTGATAGCATTTACCTTAAGAATGGCTACTGGTACATCTGACGTATGAGGTATATTAGCTGTCAATATTCGTGGAGTAAATCCTAATAATTTACCAATTGAATCGTTTTGTTCAAAACTCACTTCAAGGCTGCTTGTTATTTCACTACGTAAAGTATTATTGTTAGGTTTGATTCTTACAATTTCAGATCCATTTTCAATAGAGTTTTGAATATATTTTTCAATATCTTCAATTTCATAGCTTCCAGGGGGTATAGTAATCACTTTATCACCAATATAAAATTTATTTTTACCTTGATCAATATTAGGAATTGAATTGAAGGTTAGTAATTCAACTAAGCCAAGTACATAATTTTTATTAGATAATAATTCTATCGGAGGAAAATATTCTGCCTCCAGGACAGATGAATTGCCTGAGATAGTCAGAGTAAAAGATTCTTCCATGTTGATGACTTTTTATAAACTGATTAGGTGGAATGACTTACAATCACTTATATAGAATATATTTTTGAGTTATTTCAAGCTGTCCACATAAGAATTTTAGACATAAATGACCACAATTAAAACTATTATAATCTTGATAATTTTGATGATTATACTGTATTAAAGTATTGTAACCTAAGTAATTGACAAGTTCATAGGGTGGTTGAAGATTTCCAAAACTATCAAAGTATACTGCTTTATTATTAACTTTTTTATATGCAACCCAATGAGTTCCAGAACCATCTTTATCATCTAAATTAATAATGGCGGATTCATTTTTTCGAGGACCACTTATAGGTAGTTCATTTCGCATATAAACTCCTCGAAAATGGGAAATTTTCATTTCTTTAGCATATTTAAGTAAATCTAGATCTGTAAGTGCTCGTTGAGGTAGCTTTAAACTTTTTTTTTTCTACATCGCCTCTTAATACCTTGTCCTTTAACGTATGGTTTCAAATGAAGTCCCAACCCTTGTCGGTATGGTTTTAAATGTAGACCTTTGCCAAGTGCCACTGCTTCCAACTCTCTATTATGACGCTGAGCTTCCTTCAACTGCTCTTTTGCTGCACTTGCATCATTAACAGCTTTTGCTACACCAGCAGCTCCCCCAGTAAGCGCTCCAAGTGCACTTAGACCAGCAAAAATTGGAATTAATGGTAACAGACCACCAACTTTTGATGGAACAGGTAGAATACGAGGTGTTAAAACCTTTTCTCTACCACCTGCTTTCCTTACAGCTTTTCGAGCTGTTTCAATAGCTGACTTTATTGTTGATCGAGCATCATTACCAGGAATTATTGATTTTCTTGCAGCATCCACAATTTTTCTAAGATTTACTCGTTTTTTTGATTTTGTCTTCTTTACTCGTTTCTTTGACTTTGTCTTCTTCTTCTTTACTCCCATTCCAAATTTTGATTTTGCTTTCATAGCGTTTGTTATTGCGTAAGCTGCAGCTCTTTCACTATATTGTGCGTCTGGAGCAAATACACGTTGCCACGCTTTGTCAGCTAATACTCTATCAGCAGCGTTTCTTTCTTCAACGTTTTCTCGATTTTTCGAGTAAGCAATATCGTGCTCTTTACAAGCGGCGTCTAATGGATTAACACCTGGATCACCTCGGTCTAGACGTTTTGCTAACTTTGTGCCTGGTCCACAATATTGATAACCTGGCAAATGTAATTCAAATGGTAACTTGTTTATAAGTTTATTAATTAACCCTTTTCCTTGAGAGCGATGATGTATAATCATACCTTACTCTGTGAAAGTTAAAATTAGAATGACTTGTGAGCTATATAAGCGCTGTATTTATACCTTTAGCGGCAGTCTAAATCAGAATGCGGTTCAAGGAACAACTTCACAAGCTGCCAGTCGTCAATCTAGACTCGATTGTTGAACAACAAGAGAAGAAAGTGAAGCGTCATGGTAGTTTATTTTCCGGTAGTATTCGAGCTATTTTTTGTGGACCATCAAATTGTGGAAAGACAAATGTACTCCTTTCTTTAATTTTACATCCTAATGGTCTTAGATTTGATAATATTTACTTATACTCAAAGTCTTTACATCAACCCAAGTATAAATTCTTGGAACAAGTTGTTAATAATGTTGAAGGAGTAGAGTATTTACCATTTAGTGAGCATGAAGAAGTCATTACTCCTAAAGATGCAAAACGAAATTCAATATTTATATTTGATGATATTGCTTGCGAGAAGCAAGATAATGTAAGGGCATTCTTTTGCATGGGTAGACATGTTGATGTTGATTCTTTTTATCTTTGTCAAACATATGCCCGCGTTCCTAAACATTTGGTACGTGATAATGTTAATTTACTAGTTCTTTTTCGTCAAGATGAGAAAAATTTAAGGCATGTTTATGATGATCATGTTAATACTGACATGACATTTAATCAATTTCGAGAACTATGTTCAACATGTTGGAATTCAGACAAATATGGATTTGTAGTAATTGATAAGGATTCTGATTTAAATGATGGAAGGTATAGAAAAGGATTTGATAGCTTTGTAACACTATAAATATAGGATCATCCCTAAAATATTGTTAGTTCAATATGAAACCTTGTAATAATAACATGTTTCATAAAGAAAAAGAATATCTTCATCAAATTGCTAAAGCTAGCGAGGCAATTAGGCGAAAACATCGTATGTTAAAATTAGGAAAAGAAGAAGCTGAAAATGTGCTGACTGAAACTTTTAAACCGATAGTTCAACCCTTACAAAAAATTATTAACTTGACAGACACTGAACATGAAAATATCAAGATTGAAAAGAAAGAGCAGAAGATGGATGATAGCATATACTTTGAAAGTGAAACTGAAAAATCTCCAGATGATGATAAAATAAGTAATAAATTTCTATACTTATTAAATCATAATAGAAAGCAATGTTTAGATTCAACATACGGCATACGTAAGCTAAGTGATGGATCACTTATGATTGGTGATTCACCAATAACTCTTGAAGATCAGCATGTAAAAATTGGTAATAAACGATATCTTCAAACGCTTGGATTACTTGAACTTTTATTTAAAAGTAAACCTACTACATCGCTTATAAGTGAAGATGATGAAAGAAACTATAAAGAGATTCTGATTGCTACTAATGCACACAAAAAGAAGTATAGTTCCTCTGAATCTATACGTTCGGATAAGAGTTACAAGTATTTGAATTTTATATCTCAATTCTTCCCTCGAACACCTACCAAACGGTCATCTGTAAGCGGTAGTTCATTACCTAAATTTATGATTACAAACAAAAATTTTCAACGAGAATATATCTATTGGGATGATCCAAATGAGTTGGTTGACCGTCTTAGACTATTAATGGCTTCTCAAGCTGCTGGAAATCCTAGTCACAATAATGAAATCATGTCTATCATTGAGGAACTACGTGAAGCTAAAATTATATATTAAGATGTGTTTTAGCAAATATCATTCATTTCAACAATGAGCATTGACGTGTTCGGACATCCTCTCAATCAAAGAGGAACAGCAAGACGAGGGCCTCCTGGAGTTGGTTTTAAACTTAATTCTCAAGGTAACTTTGACGTTGAAGGAAGAAAACTCTCTAATCTTGCTAACGCTGAAGAAGAAAACGACGCTGTCAATTTAAAACTTGTACGACATATGATAAAACACGAAGTGCGTTTATTGTATGAAGCTAGTGCCTCACTTAGATCAGAGGTGGACAATAACAACTTATTTCTAAAAGTTCTTGAAGACTCTATTACAGAAAAAATAAAAAATTTTGAAAAAGATATAAATCAAGACTTATCTTATCGAACAGCTGAAATTATTAGTGAATTGGATACTCGCTTAAGTGCTCTCGAGAATGAACAACAAAAAATTAACAGTAGTGAATGAACTTCATACCCAGTCTAGAAAAAATTATCCTCGACGGCGAGTTGAAATGCGTGATATTGATGAGACATGGCAAGCAGATTTAGTAGAAATGATACCTTATTCAAGAATAAATAAAGGTTTCAAGTATTTACTAACAGTTATAGACATATTTTCGAAATATGCTTGGGCTGTTCCAGTAAAAAGTAAAAATGGAAAAGATGTTTCTCATGCAATGCAATCTATATTTGCTAAAAAACGCATACCAAAAAACTTGCATAGTGACAAAGGAAAAGAATTCTATAACTCACAATTTGAAGCATTAATGAAAAAGCATAAAATAAATTTTTACTCAACATACAGTAATATGAAAGCTTCCATTGTTGAACGGTTTAATCGAACACTAAAAAGAAAAATGTGGATGCAATTTAGTTTACGAGGAAATTACAAGTGGTATGATATATTGCCTACTCTTATTTCCAACTACAATAATACAAAACATAGAACAATTGGAATGAAGCCTAAAGATGTTACTTCAGAAGACGTTGAAATTTTAAAAGAAAGGATCTCTAAACTGAGAAAAATTCCTTTAAGACGACCAAAGTATAAAATTGGTGATAAAGTTCGAGTAAGCAAATATAAAAACGTTTTCGAGAAAGGATATACACCCAATTGGACAACAGAAATATTCACCGTGGATCAAGTTGTATCAACTCAACCAGTGACTTACAAGCTCAAGGATTACCAGGATCAACCCATCAGCGGAGGATTTTATGAAGAGGAACTTCTTAAAGTAAAATATTCAGATATTTATCTTGTGGAAAAAATTCTCAAGACACGTGGAAACAAAGTTCTTGTCAAATGGCTTGGCTTTGATAATTCTCACAATACGTGGGAAGATAAAGCAAATGTATAATCTATTATTCGCAAATCGTCCCTAGTAACTTAACGCAAATGTCAATCAACCAGCAAATCAATCAAAGATTAATGTTAGCGTAGAACCTCTCTATAAATCAAAACTACTTCCAACAACAGACCTTTACACTGCCAGTGCCAAATTTAATTAACATTAAATCAATAATGAATCAATAATGAATCAACAATGAATCAATAATGAATCAACAATGAATCAATAATGAATCAATAATGAATCAACAATGAATCAATAATGAATCAACAATGAATCAATAATGAATCAATAATGAATCAATAATGAATCAATAATGAATCAACAATGAATCAATAATGAATCAACAATGAATCAACAATGAATCAATAATGAATCAAATCAGTTGGCACTGGCATTGTGAAGGTCTGTTGTTGGAAGTAATTTTGATTTATAAAGAGATTCTACGCTAACATTAATCTTTGATTGCTTTGCTGGCTGATTGGCATTTGCGTTAAGTTACTAGGGGCGATTTGCACATTTAAATTAATATAAGTTTTAATCATATGTTATTATGTATATATGGAAGGATTTTTTAAATAAAAACACATGGAAATTGTATATATAATTGCATTATTTATTAACAAACCTTTTATTTTTTTACAATCATGTTTTACAAAATCATTCGTCGATTTTAGGGATCGCATAATGTCCCCACGGTAGAGTGTCGGTACTCCCCGGTAACAAATACCGTTTGTCGTCTTGCGGACTTAAAGCTACTTTAATTTGTTTTACAGTCTCGAGGTTATGTAGTCGCGATCTTATATTATACTGTGTTCGAGTTTGAATGTCAAAATCTCGCAGACATTTTACATAATCATCAAAGTGAATCGATTTTTTCACAACGCCGGATTTAATGCCTTTAGCTTTTTTAATAAAATCTTTACCTTCAACCCGTACGCTGTACATCTTACTCCGCAAGCCAACAAATTCGGTAACGATCTTGCCGTTACATTCGTCTTTCATTAGACCGAGAATCTTTTTGTTGGCTTGCGGAATGCCGTACACGTTGTTTGCGGGATAGTCTGACGTATCGAACTTTTGGATGTCATTTTTCATATCATTGTAGACATCTTTACATTTAATTTCATAGATTAGACTGTCTGTATCGGTATACATCAGTTTACAATTGTCGCCGTATTTTTTTAACATATACCCGTAGTGAAAATCGTAGATTAGCGTTTTGGAAACATCGAGCACACTTAACCCCACATAGATTGGTTTGTTGAGTAGTACCTCGGTTTTACGCAGTTCAATGGCAACCAGATTTTCGTCGAATATTGCTCGACTATGGAAATTGGGGCGAGAAATAAGGGCTTCAGCTCCATAGCGGCCAAACCATTGGGTGACAAGCTTAATGTCGACATGTTTACGGACATTTTCCATTGTTTTACCGTATACCGCATTGTTCATGAGCTTGAACAAATTTTTCTCGAACTCATTCTTGGCGTTGGTTCGCATCATCGTATTATAGTCTATATATGGTTTAAGCCATGTTGATTGCTTAAACTGTAAGACTCGATGAATTTTAACAAGCTTAATGCCGTTGGCGACAACTTGTTTTAAAGTGCGGTAGTGGATCACATATTTTTCTTTTGGTTGGAGAGTTGTTAATAATTTCTCCTGTTTCGAGAGGGGTGGTTTCGCATTTTCTGCGCAAAATGGCATATCTTTGTGAGTATCGTGGAGATTTTCAGGATACTCCAAGTCAACTTCGAGTATGTACCCAACAGGTGAATCGTCAGGCACATTAAAATCGAAGGAGTTGTCGACATTATCAACCCATTTGAAGCCGCCATAAGGGAGCGCTTGAGCCATTGCCCAGCCATATAAATTGTTGGCGTCAAAGTACATGATGTAGCTTGTATCTTTGCTATCATCGAAATTTTCCATATATCTATTATTCGCTATAGTATATCGGTTGCAGCATTGACTTATGCCACCTCTAATACCAGACTCAACAAACATAATCATATCGATATCGGTTATTAGTTGCAATCCTATGCTCGTGTACTTGAGCATAGCATCCCAAGTTAAACCGGGGGTCGTATAATAGTGAGCAGGATCTAACCCGTACGCTTTAACACATTCTTTTCGAAAATTTTCAAAGACATCCGCAAGTAACAATACATCTGTTTTCATATACAAATGTACATAGTCGTAGAGATTCTGACAGTCAAACTCGGTCCATACTTTCTGCGCATGCGCATACTCGTCATCAGAAATACCGGCATCATAAAGCGTACTATAAAATTTCTCGATCGGGGGCAATTCTGTCTCATCTAACTTACTTTTCGAGTCAAAGTACTCATAAGGGAATACACCCTTGCGCGTCAATAATTTAATTTTTTCCGGATCTGTCACCGTACTGGCAAAAACGGAGTTGACGATTTTGTACTCGTCTAGGTACGATGCGAGTTTCTCTAGAGATGCTGCCATAAATCGCAATGAGTCAATGAATCGAAATTTGACCTCACTCCCCTTGACATGTTTAGTAAAAGAGATATACTTCTCTTTGTTAATGGGGAGGAGGTCAATTTTTCCTTCAAAGCTCGTCGAAATCGCGTGAATTATAAAATGGGCGTCATAGCCACTTAGGTTGTGAAATACTACGGGGATCGTTTGACAATCTTGATAGTTTAGATTGCACGATTCATGGGCAGCACCCCTATATTTGCCAGTAAGGTGACAGTGATCACGGACTTTCTTTTCGCTTGCCGGTATTTTCTCATTACAAATGTGACATATTGTCGCTCGCTTGAAGTCACTGATTTCTTGAGGAGTTAAGGCATTCATTGGTATCGGATTTTTGAATACATTATCAATTTTTTCAGATAATTGCCTTAATTCCTCAGTAAACCATTTGGCAGGGTCGGATTCATTTTTCGGACATGGTACATATTTACATAATGATTCATCGTAGCTGCATTTTATATAATAGCCTATGCTTAACAATTTGTGACGCTGGAATACCTCAGTCTTACTTAAATTGTCTACATCTTCATCGGCGGGAAGAAGTAGACTTTCACAGTCAGCGTAAATTACATATGGCACCTTTTCTTTATTTTTATAATTTTTAAATGTAATCAGACTCTTGTCAGGTTTTGGTAACGTTACTTTACACTCATTCACTTTTTTACAATTTTCAATGTGTGCATTCAATCTATCTACAGATGAAAAGTAGTGTAAGCATCGGTCACAGATATGTTTTTTACCATTTTTAGCAGACAATTGTTTCGAAACAAGATGTGACAAATTTTTTATCCATACATAATGGAAATTCATAAAACCATCATCGTCATACAATGCATTACTGTCAACACTTTCATCCGCATACATGTCGGCAACATACAAGAGATTTACATGCTTATCTCTTTTTTCCGCAGTGAGATGGAGAGGATGTGTTGAGAAGTCCCCATAGTATTTTGATAAACCATAGACATTAATTGAAATATCATTTAATTTTTCAAATTTCGGGACATTTTTTAACGTTACTGGGAAATCTATTCCGTCAAAATTTAACTCATTTTCAAATTCTTTATAGTTAGAAACACGATCACTTCTCACGACATTTGGATGTAAGGCTGACAGTACCGCCCACTTAAAGCACTCGTTATCTTTGTTTTGCACGTTAATACAGGCTTTCTTTCTTTTAATTTGTGAAGGTAGATCAATGTATGAGCTCGCACGCATTGGATTGTATTTGTTTACATTCACTTCAAGTCTTATAATAGACTGAAGATTCCAATTTGATCCCTTTGCGTGAAACTCTTCTACACTGCGCAAGATTGGCTGCTTGATGTTCTCATCAAACCAATCATCTAAAAGGGTTGTGGGGAAGATGCTGTTAGCCTTAGTTCCAAACGGAATTGGCTTAGCTACTTCTTCCTCATTCTCAACCCTTTTAAAGTTGGCAATGAGAACACCATACACCAAAATAGGACCATATTTGTTTATAGCATCTCTAATGCGGTCCTGAAAAAGTCTAGACGCATCGTCTAAAAACGCGCTTATATCAATGTGCACTAGATTCAGAATCACATTAGTGTACAGTCTACACGCAAACGCACTCTCACATTCTTCCCAGCGAACACGTTTATTAATGTCTGGGTCACCGATTCCAGCGCCATCTACTACGTGGGACTCAAATAATGCGCGAAGTCTAATTATGGATTGTAGAATGCTCACACATCTTTTCTTTTGATGTGTAAAGTACATCGACTTGAGAATGCTCGATAACACGTTTTCATGTTGTGAGCATTCTACAATCCATCTCCCAACGAATGAACGTCTTAAATTGACGTCGTCTAAAAGAGGAATCAACTCTAGAGCCTCCTTGATGAGAGTAATAGTTACGTCACTCTCGTCGAGAATAGTACCGTAATTCGGATACTTACGTGGTGGTCCATCGGTGGTCTTCGCCTTACGCTTCATCTCTGCACCTGAAATTAAACACTTACAAGCTAACAAAAAAGAATAAAGAACACACTTACAAGCTAACAAAAGAACACACTTACAAACTAAAAAGAACACACTTACAAACTAACAAAAGAATGAACTTACAAACTAAAATACTTATACTAAACAAAACGAACTTACAAAGTAAAGAACTTAACCTACAAACCAATACAAAGTAAATGCAATAAACACAGTAAATGTAACAAAAAAGACAGTAAATATAACAAAAAAGACAATTAGTAATGGCAAGGGGAATCTGCTGATGCTGCTGCTGTTGGAACCGCTGAATCTGTGAACAGAACAGCTACTGACTAAACTCGCCAAAATCCCTGAATATATACCCCGAAATCCCCACTCCTACCTTTCACGCATGCGCACTAGACCATTTACCCTCACTCCAACCTATCACGCATCCCTACTCTTAAATTTTCCCCCACCTATTCACGCATGCGCAACACTCTTACTCTAACGCAGTCGTAACAATTTCTATACAGGATACGCAAAATAAATATACTAATTTACAAAAAAAATAAAAAATTTATTGATTATTAAAAATAAAATTCAGAGTTAAATTTAAAGTTACGCGCCGCCGTCGATGGCAGCGACGCCGACCGTGAGCGGGCGGTGGCTGCGCCTCTGGTGGAGGTCCCGCCGGCTCTCTCTCCTCTACCCTGGGCTCGGGGGACTCCACCCTGGGTATCGGTGACCTACACCGTGGTGGACTTCCTGGCGGAGTTGTAGGCAGCCATTCCACCGGTGTAGGCGACCTGGGTGGAGTCCCCAACTGAATGAAGGGTGGGGGAGACTCCGGTTCCATCCTGAGTTGAGGTGGTGTCGGCGGTCGTTCCACCAACGCCCAGGGTGGTGAATATGGCCGCCACATAGGATACATGGCGTGCAGCGGTGACAGCTCCGATGTCGGCGACCTGACGTCCACCGAAGGTGGTAGCGGATTCACCACCTGGTACCACGGTGACTGGGACGGCCCTGGAGGAGTTGCGGGAAGCGGGAGTTCATTCCCTTCATTCTGCAACTAAACAAATTAATTACATTTAAATAATTATATTTAATTAATTATCTATTTACTCAATTACTGAATTACTAATACTCACATTATACATTGAGATCGCTCGCACCTGACACTCGTAGCAGCTCTCCATCGCGACCTGCTCAAACTGCTGCTATGAGCCGAATGAGCTCTCTGCCGTGTGCCGGTCTCCCTTGTAGGTCTCTCTCCCCACCATGTGGTGTCCCCCACCATTCACTTTCGCTACATGCGCTACACGCGGTAGTTAAAGGTAACTGAGATGTTACTGATCATCCGTAGGTAAGGCGCGAAATTTGAGTTCGAAAAATGAAAATTACTATAAAGTTATATATTTATTATACCATATTCTATTAATAAATAAAATAATTAAAAGTAGTAATATTAAATTATTAATATTTAGCAACAAGCAAGAATTAATAAATTAAACTAACCTTAATTGATAATTAATTATTAATATTATTGTGAAAAAGAAATTATTGCAAATAAATTTTTGTTATAATAAATTAATTATACTGAATATTCATATTTATTTAAAATTCCAGTTTTAATTGTATGTTTATGTTGTAATTAAATTATTTTAAAAAAATATTAGTGAAATTTTCCAATTTTTTTTAACCTAAATATTACTAAGTATTTAAATTTTACTCAAATATTAGTGAAATTTTCCAATTTTTTTAACCTAAATATTACTAAGTATTTAAATTTTACTCAACAAGTAATAATTACGTTTATTAACATTATTTAAAAAAGATTCAAACTTATTGTTAATGGAAAATTTAATGAAACAAACACATTTTAATAATAGCTTATTTATCTTTTTTATTTACATATTTAAATGCTTACAAAAAAATATATATATAAACATTTTCGTACAATTTGTATAAAAATAGTAATATTATAAAACGTTTATAAAAACATAATAAAAAATATTAAAAGAAACAAAAAAAGCAATAACACTTTTTTTTCATGCAGGAAAAAATGATTATAAAACCTATTACAATCTGAGATCATAAAACATAAATACTTTGAAAGAAATAAAAACAAAACAATAACACTTTTTTTTATTAAGGAAAAAAACAATTGAAAAACCTATTAAACTAAAAAAAACAAAAAAAACATTTTTTATATAGAAAAAACCGATTGAAAAAACTATTAAAGTAAAAATAATTTAATTCTTTGAAAGAAATAAATAACTAAAAAACACATTTAAAGAAAATCTAGTTGAAAAAAATAAATAATTTAATTCTTTAAAAGAAATAAAAAAACTAGAAAAACTTTTTTAAAGAAAATAAAATTTAAAAAACTATTACATTCTGAAATTATTTAAATAAAAAAAATAAAAACATTTTTTATATAGAAAAAAAACCGATTGAAAAAAACTATTAAAGTAAAAATAATTTAATTCTTTGAAAGAAATAAAAAATTAAAAAAACATTTTTAAAGAACATCCAGTTGAAAAAAAAAACAAATAATTTAATTGTTTAAAAGAAATAAAAAACTAGAAAAACTTTTTTAAAGAAAATAAAACTAAAAAAACTATTTCATTCTGAGATTATTTAAATAAAAAAAAGAAAAACATTTTTTATATAGAAAAAAACCGATTGAAAAAAACTATTAAAGTAAAAATAATTTAATTCTTTGAAAGAAGTAAAAAATTAAAAAAAAAACATTTTTAAAGAACATCCAGTTGAAAGAAAAACAAATAATTTAATTGTTTAAAAGAAATAAAAAAACTAGAAAAACTTTTTTAAAGAAAATGAAATTAAAAAAACTATTTCATTCTGAGATTATTTAAATAAAAAAAACAAAAACATTTTTTATATAGAAAAAAACCGATTGAAAAAAACTATTAAAGTAAAAATAATTTAATTCTATGAAAGAATTAAAAAACTAAAAAAAACATTTTTTTATATGAATGTAAGTTGTAAATTTAACATTAAAAAAGTTGAAAAAATAAAGAAAATGATAAATAAATATCAAAGTGGAGAATTAGAATGTAAAAAAATTAAATGAAAAACTAGCGTCTTTTTTTTGTGAATGCAGTAGCTAAGTTTTTCATTGATCTTGAAATCCGTTGGCGTGTTGTTCCACGTAGATTGCGTGGTGGGATCAAAATAGAACGTCTTGGGGCTGGAATTGGCGCTGGTGCTCGAGGTGCTGGAATTGGAGCTCCTGCTCGTGGCACATGAGCGATTCGACGAATTACTCGTGGTGCAGCTTCTCTTAGTGCCGGCACTGGTGCTCGAGGTGCTGCGATCGGGGCAACTGCTCGTGGCACATGAGCGATTCGACGAATTACTCGTGGTGCAGCTTCTCTTGGTGCCGGCACTGGTGCTCGAGGTGCTGCGATCGGGGCAACTGCTCGTGGCACATGAGCGATTCGACGAATTACTCGTGGTGCAGCTTCTCTTGGTGCCGGCACTGGTGCTCGAGGTGCTGCGATCGGGGCAACTGCTTGTGGCACATCAGCAATTGGTTGAATTACTTGTGGTGCAGCTTCTCTTGGTGCCGGCACTGGTGCTCGAGGTGCTATAGACAATTGGGGTCGAGTCCGAATTCTGATCCATGGTTGTGGATCCCCTGTTGGATCATATACAAATGGAATTATTGGATTGATGATCTCCAATTGACCATCTTGTTGCGCTGCAAGGTCAATGTTATTTCGCTCAACATTTTGATCTGGAACGTTGTTTGGTTGCTCATCCCAACGATTTCTTCTTCGAAGAAACAACCCCGGCTCTTCGGGATTGTACTCAACATTCTCCATGGCTGCAAGTTCGGCGTTCAAATTATTCTAAAAACAAATATTTATTACAATATTGAAATAGGAAATAAATAATTTATTACACTGAAAATATTTTTAATAAGGTATTATCATTGCAATAATATAACAAATATTTTAAAAGAGATTATTGATTAAAAAATTGATTTAACAAGAACATTTCTTTGGCAGGTTAGGTTTTGAATATTATTAAGAAAGTAAGAGGGTACATTAATTAGACAAAAATAAAACTATTGATTAAAAAAATTGATTTAACAAGAACATTTCTTTGGCAGGTTAGGTTTTGAATACTATTAAGAAAGTAAGAGGGTAAATTAATTAGACAAAAAAAAGATTTCTCTGACAGGTTAGGTTTTTAAATATTTGTAAAGACAGTGAACATTAAATGAGAAAATTTATTAGAATAAAATAAAACTATTGATTAAAAAAATTGATTTAACAAGAACATTTCTTTGGCAGGTTAGGTTTTGAATACTATTAAGAAAGTAAGAGGGTAAATTAATTAGACAAAAAAAGAATTCTCTGACAGGTTAGGTTTTTAAATATTTGTAAAGACAGTGAACATTAAATGAGAAAATTTATTAGACTAAAATAAAACTATTGATTAAAAAAATTGATTTAACAAGAACATATCTTTGGCAGGTTAGGTTTTGAATACTATTAAGAAAGTAAGAGGGTTATTAATTAGAAATTAATTTAGATTAAAATTAATTAGACAAAAAAAAGATTTCTCTGACAGGTTAGGTTTTTAAATATTTGTAAAGACAGTGAACATTAAATGAGAAAATTTATTAGACTAAAATAAAACTATTGATTAAAAAAATTGATTTAACAAGAACATTTCTTTGGCAGGTTAGGTTTTGAATACTATTAAGAAAGTAAGAGGGTTATTAATTAGAAATTAATTTAGATTAAAATTAATTAGACAAAAAAAGATTTCTCTGACAGGTTAGGTTTTTAAATATTTGTAAAGACAGTGAACATTAAATGAGTTAATTTATTAGACTAAAATAAAACTATTGATTAAAAAAATTGATTTAACAAGAACATTTCTTTGGCAGGTTAGGTTTTGAAAACTATTAAGAAAGTAAGAGGGTAAATTAATTAGACAAAAAAAGATTTCTCTGACAGGTTAGGTTTTTAAATATTTGTAAAGACAGTGAATGTTAAATGAGTAAATTAAAAGAATAAGTAATGAAGACTAAAAATATTTTTGAGACTTACAATTCTTTGCTGTAGATGATGAAGTCTACAATTTGGTTCTCGGCAGTTGCAAATCACTCTTATTTGAGCTGGATCCTATTTAGAAGAAAATATATTAATTAACGTTAAAATCTATAATAAGTAAGGAAAATGTTTATTAGTTTCACTTACCATTATGATATTAATACAATTATACTTAGACGTAACGATGCTTTATGATTTTAAAATCCAGTCTGTTTGTTAGAGGTTAGGTTAGTTGTAAACATGGCGGCTGCATAGTTCAGGAGCGGTTTAATTGAACATTTTTTAAACAGTTTTCACAATTTTTATTATTTAACTTTGTTTTCAGTGATAAAATTTTAAAACTTAGTTTATATACACTATAAATGTTAATAAAATTTTTATTTATTTATAAAAACAGTAGGTATATAGTATTGAGTACAATGAAAGTTGAAAATTCCCGCCACACACTAAAGTTGTATAAAAATTAGTAAATTACAGAAATAAATTTTTGAAATAAATTCAAATATATACTTAATAGGTATTTATAATAAAGATAATTCATTAATTATTAAGTAAATATTATTAAAGTTTATAATAAACATAATATTTTTTTAGATTTTCATAACAAACCATAAATAAATTTTTTCATAAAGGAATTGACCAATGAGAACGTTTCTTTCAAGCTTGTGGAAATTTGATTCGAGTGTATTGAAAGCAGCGCGACATTAACTCAAATTTAAACGTTTTTTAAATGATAATAAAATAAATTGATGTTTTAATAAATTAGTTATAAATATTACTTACCTTTATTAATAAATAATTTTATAAAAAACATGACTAACATTTAATTCATTATATAAATACTTAATAAATATTTAAATAATTTTCGAAGAGTTGGTAAAACTGTTTAATTAAATATTTTTAATAAATTTAAATAATAAATATCACCATTTGTTGTAATAACTATAAGGAATTAGCTGGTAAATTACATTTAGTAAAAAAACTTACTCAAATATTTTAATATTAATAATTAGTTACGCCATCATTTATCACCACTATACATATTCTTTGTTAAAATAAATTTTTATTATATATTAATTAGTGGCGCCATCTCTCGGGACAACACTCAAACCGCACTCTGTCGGTAAAACAAAATGGCGGCTCACTGTTTAAGCAGTTTGAATTTTTCAAATAAATTTTTAAATTTCCCGCTAAGCAAGTTTGAA